AGCACTAAGCATGATGCTTGGCTCTTAAGATGCATAAACATTTGCTGGCTGGATGGCTGGCTGACTTCTCCTTTTCCTAACTAAGCATGGGTTAAAGTCTGGTCTTTAACAATGAATATTTTTCATGTCATCTCTTACCACCACCACCTCCTGACGTATTTGGGGCATCATCTCCCTCCCCAGCAGCCAAGAGAGAATGGCTGTGTTTTGTCAGTTGCACCTTAGACCCAGTTCTGTGGTGTGTGGTATTCTGTAAGACCTTGTAAAAATTATTTTCATTTTCTTGGTCTCAGCTGACTCACTAATGAAAGGCAGACGATTAATCCTGCTGCTCTTCTCCCTCCTGTTCATAACATGTGACTGAACATGGCTGTCTTTCCTCCCTTCTGCCTCATTCAGTTCCCTCCCTGGGCTCACACCAAAGCCTCCTGGATCAGTAGTGTGTTTGCTGCCTGCAAGCCCAGGTGTCTGCCTTGGCCTAACCACCACCGGGGCCTTTAGATGCTGGGTCAGACCAAAGCCTGTGTTCCCGCCTTACAGCACAGCCAAAGCCCAGCTCAGAGGAGGAGCACTGAAGCGTGTGCTTTCAGGAGTGTGTGTGAATATGCATTCCCCAGCCGTGGCTGGCAGAATTCCACCTTGTGCCTCATTCCCACATGGGTTCTGCTCAGTCTGGTGATGCAGTTTGTCTTCTAAACTGTATTTTAAAATCAAGGGACACACCTCAAGCTGGCTCCTATGATTATGTTTCTGATCTTGGCTGTGCCTCAGTCATTTCTCAGGGACCAGGTTGGCCCATCCATTGGGGCTACTGAACATGCTGTTCCAAGAGCAGCCTGAGTCAGTGTGCTGGCTCCTGGGACCTCCTCTCCCTGAGACTCACAGGAGGCAGGTGGGGTTCAAGCCTGGGACTCTGGCTGTCACAGCCCTTCACAGGGAGGAGGGCCAAGCTGAACAGGGGGAGGAGGAGCCCAGGGCTCCCCATCAATTAAGGCAGCCTGTGTCCCTCCTTAAAGACTTGTTTCTTTCTCCTTTTTTTTTTTTTAATTAAATGGAGTCTGGCTCTGTTGCCCAGGCCGGAGTGCAGTGGCACGATCTCGGCTCACTGCAACCTCCGCTTTCTGGGTTCAAGTGATTCTTCTGCCTCAACCTCCCGAGTAGCTGGGACTACAGGTGTGGGCCACCGTGCCCAGCTAATTTTTGTATTTTTTTAGTAGAGAAGGGGTTTCTTTCTTTCTTTTTCTTTTCTTTTCTTTTTTTTTATTAAGGGCAGGGACTTAATTAGCGAAGGGGTTTCACCATATTGGTCAGGCTGGTCTTTAACTCCTGGCCTCGTGATCTGCCCACCTCAGCCTCTCAAAGTGCTGGGATTACAGACGTGAGCCACTGCTCCCAGCAAGGACTTGTTTCTTACCTTGAAAAACTATGGACAGAGGCCTTAGTCATCCTTCTTTTCACGTGTGTGGTATGCTGCACAGATCATGTTCATCAACCCCTCAGTGCAACCCATAAGGGCCCTTTATTGTCCGTGACTCGATCTGAGGGCCATATGGGAAGAATGGAGCTGCCCACCTTCACCCCTGACTCAGCTGGGGTCTCCTGAGGGTCATCTCCACTTCTGCACACAATGCAGGGACCATGTCTCGTTCATCTCGTGAGACCCCAGGTCTGGCACATAGATGTATTAGGCTTTCTGTAAAGGTTGACCCAATCAATAAAAGATCAAAGAATGCACCACTCAAACAGTAAGCTGGGACATCTCAGCCAACCCCTCATTCCCCAGGGGGCATGTGAGTCACCTCCACTCTGTGCCTTTCTGAGTTCTGGGATTTTCACCAGCTGCTTTTCCTGTGACCTTGACAGCAACAAGATTCTACAGTGGAATCGGAGCTTTCTCTAAGACAACTGGTCCCACATCCTCTGTCATGTCTTCATTAGAGCTATTCCCTGTCACCTGGGCAACATTCATTTGGCAGATAGTTATTGGGCACAACCATGAGTCAGGCACTGGTTCGGTGCTTGGGATACATCAGTGACCGACACAAAGTTTCCACCCCTCCAGAGGAACTCTTGCCTGGCCCGCAATCTGTGTCTCTGCCCCCAATCCCCATCCTCAAGGTAGAGTCCCAAAGATGTCTTAAATCTCACACAGGCTGAGCTGTACTTAATCCATTTCTGCAGACACAGCTCATGTACAAATGGGCCATGCCGAAAATCTGTAGTGAGGACCTTGAGGGGGCGGTGAAGCTGCCTGCCTCTGGTGTGAAGACCCGCTGCCCACCCTGCAACCCGGGCTTCTTCAAAACCAGCAACAGCACCTGCGAGCCCTGCCCATACGGTTCCTACTCCAATGGCTCAGGTAACCTCCTCCCCAGCCCACTCCCTGCCTCACATCCAGCCCCCTGTCGGCTGTGAGGGTGGGCTGCGTGGGCACTCAGAGTGGCCAGCTGAATGCAGACTCCACCCTTCCAAGGGAGGCAGTGAGGACCAGGCCACCTCTGAAGACTAAATTCAGGAGAAGAGAGGTCAGGGCTGGCCTTGTCTGCAGGTCAGAGTCAGACTTGAGGCCGCCTTCCTTTCTCCTCGCTCCAACTGCAAATGTGACTCAGGCCTGGAGGTGCCCAATCCTCAAAGCAGAGCTTCCAGCACGTAGCAGAGATGCTGACTAGAAGGCTTAAGGGGCTGGGATGACCAGCTTGACACGACCAGAGCCTATAAGCCATGCTGCCTTGGGGGGATTTGTGTACCTGTTAATATAAATGCATTTAATGATAATGTGACAATAATATGAACTACATGTATCAGACTAGAAGGTACATTTAAGTTCTGAAATGGAAATTTTGGTGGGCAAGTAGGATGGCTGGCATCTTAGAATGAAGGCCCAGTGTTTACATCTTGAGTTAGTTAAATACGTTGTCAGAATGTTTTTGAGTCAGCCTGACACACCTTCCTGCAGCAGTACTCAGCAGCCAGGCTTGTTGGCTGCTCGCCACTGTTGCCACTTGTCTGTGTGGCAGCAGCTCCAGTCAAAGTGGCCGCAGCTTTCCCGCTGAATGCATGGATCTTGTGGTTCCCCAGATTGTACCCGCTGCCCTGCGGGAACTGAACCGGCTGTGGGATTTGAATACAAATGGTGGAACACGCTGCCCGCAAACATGGAAACGACCGTTCTCAGTGGGATCAACTTCGAGTACAAGGGCATGACAGGTAATTGCCTCACCCTGTGCCATGGGCTGTCAGCTCCCTGCACACCCTCAGTTCTCCCAGCGTCACATTTCTTCACAACAGTGATGTCTGAGAAAAATAAGCTAACCAGGTCATGCATTCCCTTGAAAGTTCCACTCCTCATGGACATATGTCCTGCCAAGATGGCTTTAGAGGAAGGAACAGAGCTGGAAACATAAGCGTGCACTTCAAAGGTCTTGCTCTGAGAGCTTCAGGGTCTTTGACCAAAGTAGCAGGATAAGTAAGGTGGTTCGTGTTCAGTGGTGGTTCTGGGCGCCTCAAAAGATGGTGTCACATCTCCCTTCCAGAGTGTCATCTGGGTGCACATTTGCCTTGCGCCCAAGAGCACAAGGACATTAACTCTCCCCTCTCCTTTTCAGGCTGGGAAGTGGCTGGTGATCACATTTATACAGCTGCTGGAGCCTCAGACAACGACTTCATGATTCTCACTCTGGTTGTGCCAGGATTTAGGTGAGGAATCCAAAGCCCACGGGCGTCCAGGCCAGCTTGGCCGTATCTGAATCCCAAGTATTTTGGAATATTGTAGAGGAGAGGGCTTCTGGGGTTGTGTTTCATTTCATTTCAAATGTCATTTGAGAACAGAGGGCACAGTCATAGTTTGAGGAAGGTAACCTGAATGCTAACACGTTTCAAGCCGTCCATGTTGATTTACTGACTGCTCTCTCAGCCCGTATAGCTTCTCCCATCCATTAGCCACGTGTTATTCAAATTCTTCCTCCTCACAGCATCACTTCAGATTAAAAAAAAAAAAAAAAAGGCCGGGCGCAGTGGCTCAAGTCTGTAATCCCAGTACTTAGGGAGGCCGAGGCGGGTGGATCACGAGGTCAAGAGATCGAAACCATCCTGGTCAACGTGGTGAAACCCCGTCTCTACTAAAAATACAAAAAATTAGCTGGGCATGGTGGCGCGTGCCTGTAATCCCAGCTACTCAGGAGGCTGAGGCAGGAGAATTGCCTGAACCCAGGAGGCGGATGTTGCGGTGAGCCGAGATCGCGCCATTGCACTCCAGCCTGGGTAACAAGAGTGAAACTCCGTCTCAAAAAAAAAAAAAAAAAAAAAAAACACACCAAAAAAAAAAAAAGGAAAAAAATGCCATAGCCAGTTCATCTTTATTTGGGGCAAGAAGACTGGGAGGGATTGTTCTTATTATCATATTTGTCCCCGTATCACAAGAAGACCTAGGGCAACAAGAAATTTGTTTTCCACTAAACAAACACACAAACACATCTCCTGGCTGCGTGGTGTGGTGGAAGGAACACTGGACTGAAAGGGCACTCGTGATCTGCTGCTTACTTGCTGTGCGACCTTGGGAAAGTCACTTCACCTATTCAGGCTCCGGGCCCCTCATCCACAAAACCAGTGAGTGATTTAGGACTGAGGTTGAGATGGCTCTTCCAACCCACTGGTTAACACAACTGCATAGAGATACTGAGAACTGGAGGTCCTCAGAATTCAGGCAAGTGACTAAAGCCAAACGGAAAGCCATGAATGAATTTTCAAGGTCAAAGTGAACTCTTCTGTTTATATGGGCTCTGAAGATAAGGAGCAACCACTGAATGGGCTTCCCCATTGCCAATTTGACACCTTCATTCCCTCCTTCGAGGTCCCTGCTCCCTATCCCTGGGATGGTGCTCAGTTTGCCTTCCCTTAACACACATTACTCAGAGCTGGCCAGATACAGCCTGTGTTTGCAAGGCAAGTAAACTTTTTAGGCTCTTTTGGAATAACACTCAAAAAATACTTTCCAGTTTGCAAATCTGATCGCCGTAGTAAATTGCTGCCTCATCCCCACTACCACCCCAGCCCACTTGGGCACAGCTCTCTCTTTCCCAAAAGTAGGACCAAACTGAGGACTTTGCAGGATCACAAATTCTGCTCCTTTAACCCCAGCAAAGCTCCCCAGAGCTGGAGAGAGAGAGCTGCTGATTATATGTCAACAACTTACAGTCTTATGATAGCAGTGCTTCTCAAACTTAAATGTGCGCACGAATCACCTGGGAATCATATTAACAAGCAGATTCTGATTCACTGGGTCTGGGACGAGCCTGAGGTTCTGCAGTTCTAATAAACTCAGGGAGATGGCCATGCTGCGGGTCTGCAGACCATAGTCTGCTAGTGAGGTGATACAGCATTTTATAAAGCACCTCCATATCTGTCATGCCTTCAGGTCTCCCCACAATGGTGGGAGGTAGGTAAGAAAGAGATTTTATCACCTCCATTTTGCAGATGAGGAAACTATGGTTTGGCTGGGTCAAGGTCACAAAGCTAGGAGGGCAGAATTGGATTTAGTCCACACACTTTCCATCGTACTCAGAACCTAATCCTGTCCCCCAGCAGACCCTCTGCTGTTGTCTGGGCTCTTCAGTAAGCACTGCCTGGCCTCTAGAACTGACTTTTAATTTCTGCCCCTACAGACCTCCACAGTCGTTGATGGCAGACACAGAGAATAAAGAGGTGGCCAGAATCACGTTTGTCTTTGAGACTATCTGTTCGGTGAACTGTGAGCTCTACTTCATGGTGGTGCGTTTTCCTTTCTTTGCCCGCTATAGGGCCTCCAGGGGAGGGTTAGTCCTATCTGCCCCATTGGTATATCCACGTGACTGACACCCCACTTGTAGTGATTCCACAGAGCAAAGGCCCAGACTGACCAGCAGGGACGTCACAGTTTAACAAGGGTCTCACCAACCGTGATGGCACTGGGATGGCAGCCACATGGGCCCCCAGTTTCCCTCTGGCCATCACACCCTCTTCACTTGTCTGTCCTGGGTTCAGGGTGTGAATTCTAGGACCAACACTCCTGTGGAGACCTGGAAAGGTTCCAAAGGCAAACAGTCCTATACCTACATCATTGAGGAGAACGCTACCACGAGCTTCACCTGGGCCTTCCAGAGGACTGTTTTTCATGAGGCAGTAAGTTTCTCCCCTTCCTCAGACACCCAGCTCCCAGGAGAGACACTCCGAACCCAGGAGGATTCTTAGCATTAGCTTAAGCATGAGTCCGAAGTTCCGAATCCAAGGGTTAGAAGGATCTTAGGGAGTCGAGCAGAAAACTGCCTAACCCAGCCCTCTGAGGACCACCTTTGTCCAAATTACTTCCTGGAAAGATGACACCGTAAGAAATAAGCTGGCCCTCCTTGTAGTCCCTGCCCTGATACATGTGGTACCAGACTTGTTGTTTTTTTAAAATAATAACAACTCTGCCTTTATTTTCTTAACTCAAAGGAATACAGGCTCATTGCAGAAAACTCAGAAAGTAGAAATAAACAAAAATAAGAAATAAAATCAGCCACAATCCCGCTACCCAGAGATAAACCAGTTAACATCTGGAGCATCTCCTATACACTCTATTTCTCTACAAATATCTTTTTTTTCTTGTTTACAAGGAAAAGTCTTGCTTTTTTCATAAAACAGTATCCATTGCATATTTTCCCCATGGCACTTAATATTTTTATATGTCCTATAAATGGTTCAGTCTCATTTTAAAATGACACCAGCTACACGTGAAGAGCTACTGGCAAGTGAGTAAAAAGAGTCAGATGCTTGTAAGATTCTTCTTGACTATCACAGGATGAAAGATTAAGTACCTTGCTCTTTCGAGAGGCCTCAATTGTTGCTGCTGTCTCAGGCCTCCCCCTCTCCTCTCTTGTTTCCTTGTCTCCAGAGCAGGAAGTACACCAATGACGTCGCCAAGATCTACTCCATCAATGTCACCAATGTCATGGATGGCGTGGCCTCCTACTGCCATCCTTGTGCCCTAGAAGCCTCTGATGTGGGCTCCTCCTGCACCTCTTGTCCTGCTGGTTACTATATTGACCGAGATTCAGGAACATGCCACTCCTGCCCCCCTAATACAATTCTGAAAGCCCACCAGCCTTATGGTGTCCAGGCCTGTGTGCCCTGCGGTCCAGGGACCAAGAGCAACAAGGTACCTGCAGTCTGGCATGCACTCTAAACCTGGCCCTCTGGTTGGATGACATCACAAGATGCTGGGTCCTGGGTGGGGTTCTTGAGAGGCTGATACCCAAGTGCTCCCCTTAGCATACTCCTAGGTTGGAGTCCTGGAGGACATCCATATAGGCTATGACTGTGGAGGGTGAGCAGGGCTTGATTTCCAGGGTTCAGGACTTAGTCACTGGCAAGTCTCATCTTCAGATGGCAGGTAAGAGAGGTTGGCGACTGTGTGGTCTAGAGGGTTATTTGGCATCTGTGCAGAGACCTAGAGGGAAGGAACAGTGGGGTGGGGCCTGTGGCTTATATTCAGCATTGTCCAATCCGGGCTGTTTTTATGGAAATCTGCCCCTTCTTCTTTGAAAAGATAAAAACCCAGCCATTGCTGGGACATATGAATAACTGGCATTGCTATCTTCTATCCCAGTGGCTTCTCAGCTTTACCAGTATAAGGATTCCTTTCCTAAGCGGGAAAAGGCTGGGTGCAGTGGCTCACACCTATAACCCCAACACTTTAGGAGGCTGAGGTGTGAAGATCATTTGAGCCCGGGGGTTCAAGGTTGTAATCAGCCATGATTGTGCCACAGCCCTCCAGCCTGGGTGACAGAACAAGACTCTGTCTCTAATTTAAAAATAAATAAAAATAAAGGCACCTTTAAAAACTAGTAAATAAGTAAAGTGGATAAGCAGTGTTGCTGTCCCCATGGACTTTCTGCGTCTGAGAAGTACTTATGACTAAAAGTTCTTAGGTATTAGTCGATGCTTTTAAATGACTTTGTATTTTACTGATCACATACATCTGTAAGGCACTATCAATATGTACTCCACAAACGTTACCTAGTTCATCTGTGCAGTAAGTGCAACGATTCTACAGACCCCTGGCAACCTCTTTGGGGTACCCTGGACTTTTGCCACAACCTTCCTTCCCTGGAGCTCCCTCTGCTGCTGTGGGAGGAAATGACAGTTGTGTGCGGCTGCCTCGGAATGGTGACCCTAAAACAGAGCAATGAAAGGGTTTATGGGAAGAAAATTTCCTTTTGGAGTTCAGTTTCCTACAGAGAACCTGAGAAACAGGAAGCAGCAGGGTTCAGTGAGTTTTACACTGTGAGGGAGGGAGGAGGGAGCAAGAGGGGTTTCTCTTCTTCCATCTCAGATTCCTCATTGTCTTCTGCTCGAAAGTAAAAAGGGTCCTCTTGTGTCTTGAGAAGCTTCTATAATCTAGGCACAGGGATAAGGCTATAGAATTTGACTGAACTCCCTTCTGAAAAATAATAGGTTTGGATTTGTCCATCACATATGTGCTAATAACTGAATGGCAACATATACATCAATCCCACTTGTGCCTGTTTCACTTCTTTTACTGGCCACCCCTAATCCTTTCTTCCTCCTCATTACCCCAATTGGGCGGGACTAGACTGGGGAGAAAACTGCCACTCTCGGCCGCAACCCCTCAAGGCCGGCCTGAGCAGCTGGCCTGACCCGTCCCTCCCCCGCTCAGATCCACTCTCTGTGCTACAACGATTGCACCTTCTCACGCCACACTCCGGCCAGGACTTTCGACTACAACTTCTCTGCGTTGTCAAACACGGTCACTCTCGCTGGAGGGCCAAGCTTCACTTCCAAAGGGCTGAAATACTTCCATCACTTTACCCTCAGTCTCTGTGGAAACCAGGTAAGGTGTGCCAGTTGACAGGTTGAGAATTGAATGGGGGAGGCCCGTGGATCAGAGGCCAGAGACAGACACAGGAGAAAACCAGAAATCCTTCAGGCAGCAGGGGGTTAGGGAGCTTCAGATGATTTTTTTTTTTTTTTTGAAACGGAGTCTTGCTCTGGCGCTGTCGCCCACACTGGAGCGCAGTGGCGCGATCTCGGCTCACAACAACATTTGCCTCCAGGATTCAATTGATTCTCCTGCCTCAGCTGCCCAAGTAGCTGGGATTACAGGCACCCGCCATCACCCCCGGTTAATTTTGTATTTTTAGTAGAGATGGGGTTTTGCCATGTTGGCCAGGCTGGTCTCGAACGTCTGACCTTGTGACCCATCCACCTCTGCCTCCCAAATTGCCAGGATTACAGGCATGAGCCACCACCCCCGGCCTCAGAGATTTTTAAATATTGTTCTCCCTGAGGACATTTTCCCCTAAAATTAAATAATCAGGATTATAAACACTTAGGAAAATAAAGATGTTTAAAATAAGGTGTTCTTTTACTTTTACCTGCCCTTTATTTCCTCAGAATGAGTATATTTAAAAATATCCAGGAGGGCCGGGCGCGGTGGCTCAAGCCTGTAATCCCAGCACTTTGGGAGGCCGAGGCAGGTGGATCACGAGGTCAAGAGATCGAGACCATCCTGGTCAACATGCTGAAACCCCGTCTCTACTAAAAATACAAAACATTAGCTGGGCATGGTGGCGTGTGCCTGTAATCCCAGCTACTCAGGAGGCTGAGGCAGGAGAATTGCCTGAACCCAGGAGGCGGAGGTTGCGGTGAGCCGAGATCGCGCCATTGCACTCCAGCCTGGGTAACAAGAGCGAAACTCCGTCTCAAAAAAAAAAATAAATAAATAAATAAAATAAAATAAAATAAAAATAAAAATATCCAGGAGGAAGGGTTTTTTTTCCCTGCCTTGAAAAAGCAGTCTTCAGCAATCACTGCATTTGTTGCTTGTTTTCTACAGGCGGGATAAAATCAACCGTTTCTGGTTCATCCACATGTCTCTTTGCTGACAGTACAAAAGAAAGTAACATGAAATGCTTTATAAGGAAAGATTGTCACCATCAGCCATTTCATGCTGCTGCAAATATTTCAGATCCAAAATTCAAAGGCAGAAATGTCAAGGTGAATCCCACCACTGCACGTGACTAAACTGCAAACAATTAGAAGTTGGAAAGTTCATTTCGAATGTTACAAAATAGACTGGGTGCAGTGGTTCATGCCTGTAATCCCAGCAATTTGGAGGCCAAGGCAGGTGGATCACCTGAGGTTTGCAGTTCAAGACCAGCCTGACCAACATGGTAAAACCCTGTTTCTACCAAAAATACAAAAATTAGCCAAGCATAGTGGCGCACACCTATAGTCCCAACTACTTGGGAGGCTGAGGTAGGAGAATTGCTTGAACCCGGGAGGTGGAGGTTGCAATGAGCCGAGATGATGCCACTGCACTCCAGCCTGGGTAACACAGCAAGACTCCATCTAAAAAAAAAAAACAGTTACAAAATAAAGAGCATGTTGAGCATTCAGTCTTTGACTCTGTTGGTGGTAAGGCCTTCACAGCATAAAGCTCTGACCATCTTCTGCAGCATACAAAGAAGTTGATGGGTGTTTATATAAAGAACATGTCAAAAAATAAACTAATGTATGAAAGACAGTTTGTTTCTTGTTTTCAGAAGTCTTTGAAGAGGTTAAAATGAAGGCTCAGAAGTAACAGGTCATGATCACTTAGGAAATAAAACTGATTAAAGCAGCCTCCATGTAGCAAAAGTTTCACTCAGTGAATTATGAAGAGCTATGAAGGTGGGGAATTTGGGGAAATGGTGTATTTTTTTCTCTGCTCCTTTCCTTTTTTAGAAATGCTTATGGTATACTGCCACACCACAGATCGTTAGTTCAAAGACAAAAGAACTCTTTGTTTTATTGTAATGTAAGGGTTTCCTTCAGTTTTTAAGCTTATCTACTTTTTACAATCTAGAAAAAAAAAGCTAAGAGACACAAGATTAGCACCATTTATAATAAAATTTATAACACTGAAAATGTTGGCTGGGCACAGTGGCTCACCCGTCTAATCCCAACACTCTGGGAGACTGAGGCAGGAGGATTGCTTGAGCCCAAGAGTTCAAGACCAGCCTGGACAACACAGAGAGACCCTAACTTTACCAAAAAAAAAAAAACAAAAAAAAAACAAAACTCCCCTGTGGTTCCAGCTACTCAGGATGCTGAGGCAGGAGGATCACTTGAACCCAGGAGGTCAAGGCTTTGAGTTATGATTTTTTATTTTATGATTTGAGCTATGACTGCACCTTGGCACTCCAGCCTGGGCAATAGATCAAGACTCTGTCTCAAAAGAAAAAATCAAATCTGTCTTATCATTAGACCTGGGTTGAATAACATTCCCCTACAACACACCACTGGAAAGCTGAAAATTTAGATGTAAAAAAGCCTTCCCTATTCCCTTCTGGGAATTCCTCTGTGCCCACTCACTTCTTCCCACTTCTTCCTCCCCACTCCCCAACCAGGGTAGGAAAACGTCTGTGTGCACCGATAACGTCACTGACCTCCGGATTCCTGAGGGTGAGTCAGGGTTCTCCAAATCTATCACAGCCTACGTCTGCCAGGCAGTCATCATCCCCACAGAGGTGACAGGCTACAAGGCCGGGGTTTCCTCACAGCCTGTCAGCCTTGCTGACCGACTTATTGGTGAGTAACTCTGCTGCTTCAGCCTTGTTTGAGTGTGTGTGTGTGTGTGTGTGTGTGTGTGTGTGTGTGTGTGTTTCTGTGTGTATAAGAGAGTGTGAGGTTACCAGGCTGGGAGGTAAAAGGTCCCACATGAGGGGCCCAACCTCTTGACCTGTGTTTTCTATTCCATTCTGTATGCCAAGTGTTCCCGGGGCCTCTGACAAACCCTTGGGTCACCCCTTTCATAAGCCACTCAGGGATGTGATGAGATGAAGTGAGGTTGCATGTTGATAGGTTTTGGAAGAATTGAAGTGGTTGCCAGCTAATG